AGTGTTTGTCAGAAAGGTTTCAAACTTGGTGGATTGCATGCTGTTATGGGCGCCTACAATTTGTATATCTCAGATTTTTTACATCCGTGACCTAAGGTTAGGTCAGTGGCGTGACCTTTCCATTACAAGTCAATGGAGAAAAATGAAAATGCCTCTAGATCCGTGTGTACGCATAGGAACAGTCCAAATATTTAAGAATCACAATGACTTAGTCCACTCGTGATGACCAAGGTGTCATTTTTGCTGATAGCCTCTAGAAAGGTCATCCGAGGTCATTTGAGGCTACAAACAGTTTTTTGCCCATAACTCGCGATTGGAAAGAGATAGAACGCTGGGATTGGTCTCATTGTATTTGTCTTGTTGAGACGCATCGACTGATATGCAACATGACCTTTTCCGGTCAGGTCATGACCTTGACATGAGGTCAAATTTTCAAGTTGACCTTTCAAGGTCAAATTATAGTTCATTCGACGCGTCTCGGCGAGAGGAACACGATTCTGGCAATATAAATGTCGTGGCTTTTTTTAGTAGAAAGTTATTGTCGAAAAACACTTCGTAAAAGCAGCTATTTTTGGAGTTTTTGCCCTCTGGAGGCTAAACCGTTGACCTGAGGTCAATATTGATAATGACCGTTTCAAGAGAATAGTTCAAAAGCTATCGATTGCTGTTCCATGCGTTTTTCTAGCTACCATAGTTCCTGAGATAGCGGCATGTTTTCTGAAAAATATAATGACGATTGGCAAATTTTGGCCTTTGATGACCTCTGGTGACCCCAATATTGCTCTAAGGTGAAAAATGACCGCAATACTTTCAAACGTACGCATTGAGAGCTATCGACTGCTTTTTACCGCGTCTTTCTAGCCCTCTTAGTTTTTGAGTTAGAGGTGGGTGGTAACATATGCCCCCCCCCCCCCCCCCACTAGGGCGAAGTTGGCTGAGACCGCCACTGGGGCGCGGGTTTTAAGTTTGCCGGGCAAGAAAACCCCATTGACGAAATTTCATCAAAGTATGAGAGGTAGGGTGTTATTTCGAGTTTTTTTTTGGTCGATCTGTCGTGGAACGCCCCAGTTGTTGTTAGCTACCCATGCACAAGGCTGCAACGCACCCTGGGTAAACCAGAACAACAGGAGAAACCCCTAGACTCTAGAGCTTTCTGCTGTGTTCGCTTGGTGGGATTATTCCTCGTTATACTTAAATTGCATTGCACTATTTTAGTCTCCAAACCTGAATGTAGTTTTTCGTCAAAATCGAGCAATGCCGGGCCCTCGGCCAAGGCCGATAGCGCAACTGTGCGTGCACAATGCTGCAACAGAAAAGGAAGACGGATCACAGACCTGGAAAAATTCAGGCCACGTGTCGCATCGTTAAACTTTTTGCGAGCTGTCAAGCAGCTATCACGGCTCAGAGCGAGGCACCAGACGTTGTAACTTGTGTGGTCCGCACTCTGTCCCTATTGCATCCCGATATATATTGTCCTGTGATGACCCATCAAGCCAAAAGAAGCTATCTACCATGGGCGTAGGAACGTCATGAAAAGTGGGTGGGCCACCCTGTCAAGGGGCCTCCTTTTCCAAGGGGCCTCCTATTTTCAGGGGCCTCCAACTTTTGCCTCGTCCTGCTGGCTGTTTTGAAGTATGATCTCCAAATCTAGCTTCTGAGATCGGACAGATGTACCCAGGGCGTAATCGCTTAAAGTGACCATCCCACCTTAACATTAGTTTTGAGTTGAGATAGCCAAATTGGTGGCCATGGCCTGAAAATACCGGTTTGGGTACTCACAACATCGAAAAATGCTTTAATTCGGAGATATGGAATTTCAAACTTGCAGTTTTCGGATTCTAAGGGGCTAATGCATTGGTATGCCCCCTTAGAATTTGTGACGTCAGCGGAGATCTACCGATTTTTAAATCTTTTACTAAAACGTTTGGTAGCACGCGGTGGTATATGCCACTTTGCGCGCAACAAATGCCGCACTTTCAAATAAAGTCGCTAGGAACAGCGGAGATCCCAAAAAGTTAACAAAAGTAAAAGTCTAATATCTTGAAAACTGGTGAATATTTTTCGATGAAATTTGGTAGATATTGGTTTTCGCTCTTTCTGAACCGAGCGACATCACTTTCATGCCAATGCATTAACTTTTTTTAAGGTGGGAGGGTCCCTTTAAGCGAACAGTGCGGAAAGTTCGCACTTTTTTTAAAACTTATTCCCCTCCGATTTTTTTAAAAGAATATATTTGCCGCAAACGGCGCATGACCCCTGAAAACCCTTACACAAATGTCTTCCTCGTTTCCCAGGTGCCCCCATTAGCTTCATAGGCGCCCTCTTTGGCATATAAGCGCCCTATGTATAGTCATCAGAGACATCCCTATATGTCCCACAGTCGCCCCGTTGTCGCATACAATGTGCGCTTATCATAGGCGTCTCTCTTTTATGGACACTTGAAGGCGCCTCTCTTTGCCATGCCGGCGCCCCTGTTTCTTATGAATGCACCCCCATGGCACTGATCAATTGCAATTTGCAGACCTCTATTGCATGTGGACGCCCATATATGTAGGCCTCAGAGGCGCCTCTCTTTCGCATTGAGGCGCCCCTGTGGGCTTCATAGGCGCCCCTCTATTGCACGTAGGTGCCCTACTGTCTCAGAACCGCTCCCCTTTGGCATGCAGACGCCCATCTTTCGTACGGAGGAGCCGCTGTGGTTCTTAGAGAAGGCATGGTGCTCCCAGACGCAGATGGGGCTCTCGGAGTCGACAGTGTGGGACCTTCAGAGTCGCTGATGGGTGCCCGCCAGATGTGGACCCTCGGAGACGCCGGTATGGGGCCCTCAGAGATGCCGGTATGTGGCCCTTAGAGACACCGGTGTGAAACCTTCAGATACTTCAGTGTGAAGCCCTTACAATTGCTGGTGTGGAGCTATGAATGCGCTGGCTTAAATCCCTCAGAGGCCGGTACATGGACATTAGAGCTCATTGAGAGCTTGTGTGGTGCCTTCAGTGGCCTTGTGGAGCCGTTAGACATCAACATGGTGCTCTCAGGAGCCGGTGAGTCCTCAGAGTCACCGGTGTGGGGCCTTCAGAGCTCAAAGATACTGGTGTGGGGCCCTCAGAGGTGTCGGTGTGGGTCCTTCAGATGTACCTATAGAGCCTTGATATGCACAGGTGTGGTGGACCACAGAGGCGCCGGTGTGGGGCCACCAGAGCCACCGATATAGGGCCCTAAGAGACACTAGTATGACTCTCAAAGGCGCCGCTGTGTGGCGCTCATAAACACTGGTGTGGAGCCATCACAGGTGGGTGGAGCCGTTAGAGGCCGGAAAGGGCCCTTAGATGCCTACAAGGAGCCTTCAGAAGCCGGCGTGGCACCCTTATGGGGATAAGCGTGCCTACTTAGGAGCTGAGCTCTGTGGGGCCCTACCGAACCGAAATATGGCCACGGCCAGTTGCCCCCGCATGGCTCTTCGGACTATCTTTATCAGGGGCCTCATCTGCCTAGTTTGGATAGAAGGGCCTCTCAGACCATCAGTCTCATGGGCCTCCTCTGGCTAGTATAAATAGAAGGGCCTGTTAGACCATCAATCCTAGGGGCCTCCTTTGGTTAGTATAAATAGAAGAGCCTCTCAGACAATTAATATCAAGGGGCTCCTGTGGACAGTATAAATAAAAGGGCCTCTCAGACCAGCATATTCGGGGGCCTCCCTAGAAAAGTGTAAATGTGGATAGAGGGCCCCCTCAGATTCATTAGGAATGGACTTCTCTGACTATCAGTCTCAGGGGCTGGCCAGTATGAATATAAGAGCCTCTCAGACCATCGGTCTCAGGGGCCTCTTCTGACTAGTGTGGATAGAGGGCCCTCCAGACCACCGGTTTCAGGGGCCTCCAGTGGCCAGTTCTATGAACAGAAGGGCCTCACAGCCATCAGCCTCGGGGGCCTCTTCTGACTGGTGTGAATATGAGGGCCTCTCATACCATCAGTCTCAGGGGCCTCCGCTGCCTAGTGTGAATATAAGGGCTTCCCAGGCCATCAGTCTTAGGGGACTCTTCTGACTGGTGCCGGATTGAGGGACCTCCCAGACCGAAAGTTTTGGGGTCTCCTCTGGCCAGTATGAATAGAAGGGCCTCTCAGTCCATCAGTCTCATGGGCCTCTTCTGCCTGGTGTGATTATAAGGGCCTCTCTGAGGTCATCAGTCTCAGGGGCCTCCTCTGACTACAGTGCAGATGGATAGGCCTCCCAGACCATCAGTCTCAGGGGCCTCTTCTAACTATTGAGGATAGAGGGGCCTCCTCTGACTAGTGAGGGTAGGGGGCCTCGGCTAGACCGCCAGTGTCAGGGGCCTATTCTGACTAGTGTGGATGGAGGTGCCTCCCAGACCACCAGTCTCAGACCTCTGACTAGTGTGGATAGAGGGGCCTCCCAGACCGCCAGTGTCAGGGGCCTCCCCAGACCAGTGTGGATATTGGGGCCTCCTCAGATCCACTAGGGCATTTCAGTCCATCAGTCTCAGGGGCTTCGACTGACAAGTATGAACAGAGGGCCTCCTTGGATCTATCACGGCCCCTTGGAGTCCGTGTGTGGGGATTCGTGGAACTTATTTTTACCGAGTTTGTTTATTCTGGAAGGTGACGACGTCCTCTCAAATCGAGACGAGGGGCCTCGAGTAAAAAGTGGGTGGGCCAAAACACATGGTTGGCCCCCCACCTCGAAAAGTGGGCGGGCACTTGCCCACCTGCCCCCCCCCCCCCCCTGTTCCTACGCCTATGTTATCTACAACTACATGTCAATCTCTCAGTATTCGTATAGGTACCCAATTTACCCCCGATCTGGATAAACATCATCCCTCCGGTAACGTCATGCCACAACCCCACCCTCTGACATGACATGAGGGCCAGCCAGGTGTGTGACGTCACACCTGGGACGATGACGTCGTCGTCGGGCTCGGCAACAGTTGTATCGACCAGGCGTGGGCGGCAGCGGCGGCGGCGGCGGGCTGCGGGCGGGCTCAGACGAGCCGCCGGCCGGGCCCCGGCGGACGCGAGCATGGCCCTCCCTCGGCCTCCGCCGGTCCTTCTCATTAGTGCCGTCACCGCCGTCATCGCCGCCGCCGCCGCCACCGGTGACGCGACGTCATCAGGTGAGCTCGGCTGCCGCCGACTGAGCCGGCTGAGTCGGCTGAGTCGGACGGCACGCGGCCAGTCTCGTCGGCTACCATCTGGCGAGAAATACGCGCGGCACCGCCCACGCACACATTGGAGAACAAAATTGCTGTCGCTATGTGATTTATCTGACTGACTTGTCTCTCAGTTTCCACTCGTGACTCGATGCCCAATATTGCTATTATTTTGATTACGATGTGCCCTCATGTTCTGACTTATTGCTATCGGGTTTTATTGCGAATAGCCTCGGCAAGGCTGATCATGCCGTAAAAAAACTGTAGACATTCAGCTCGGGCATGGCCAATAAAGGCACGAATATTACAGGCGTTCTATCCAACAGCAGGGATTACAGGTAAATAAATACTCTAAATTTCTAAGTGATTTGAACATTTGAGCACCTACCTAATGTAAATATTTGAACAATTAATTCGCAATGTTTATTCTCAAAAGAATAAAGACCAACACGTCAGAATAAAGGTGGGCACCATCAAAATGGCTTATACCACAAAACGCGATAATAGCTGACCGCATAATGGCGGCAACGCAACAAGCGGCAAGAGCCGAGCACTCATGGCCGAAACTATAGCAACAGGTCCATCCCTAGACAATAGAAGTCCCCTAGCGAGTCAAACAGCAAGCGGCAAAAGCCGGGCGATAACCGAAACTATAGAGCCGTCTCTAAACAAGACATAGTTATGTAGACGTCCCTTATAGCGTGTCCGTCGCCTCATTCTGCGTTACGAAAGTCACAGTTAAAAAAAAACCTCAGTGAGGCAGACACTTCTGTTCTCACAGACCAAGTTCGATATTTGGCCCCGATTGACCTAATTTTGACCTGAACTTGAGACTTGACATGCACATCGTCCAACTCCGATCAAAGTCACCACCCATTTCGTTACTGATGTTCTTATCGGACCTATATCATTGATCTGGAACTTCGTAGGTATGACAGCTAATAAATAGGCATGAATATTGAAGATCTTGTCTTTCAAGCCATACCATACAGATGCATTATAATGACTCTCAGTCAGCTTTTCACCAATTGGGCTCTAAAGTCAATAACAACGTACTTGTAGTTTTGACCCTTTGACCCGACCTTGATCTCGCCTTGACTTTCGATTGGTTCTACTCAGGGGGTGTCGAAGTCTAGTAGGAAAATCTGGCAAATTCCCTGCGTGACGTCACGTCGGGACTGACCGAAGGCACCTTGCACTGAAAGATACGGCAGAACGGCTATTTTTGAAAAATGATTAAAAATACTTTTGTGCTGTTTTGACACATAAAACGCTTATCAGCATGTTCCTCATCATGTGATAAAGCCATATCCGTGGTCGAAAATAGCTGAGCCCCTCCCAATTTCCAACCACCGACCTCATAAGCAAAGGATGTAAGCGTAATCCTTAAGGGTGACTTTCCAATACATAATCGTACATATGCGTCCTTATGGAAATCGGTAGTGTGGCGATTGGCGACGCGCGCGACATCTGTGTGGCGACCAAGTGGCGACTGTGGCGACACCTGGTGGCTGCTTTTCTGCTGTATGTAGGCATAGGGGTTTTGCCAGTTATGGTTCCTACTGCTACACAACTATGTTGACCCAATACTAGAAAGTTATTTTGCCAGTAAAAGGCAAGCAAATTGAAAGTCAATTTATAAAATTGCTTATTTATGATAACGAGAAAATAATAAAGAAGTTTTGATTGAATATTTATTAAAATATCCAACCGTGAAACTATATTCTGGTAGGTTTAGTAGAAATTAGTCCGTGCAACCTTGTTTAGGGCCTTGGGTTCTACCTACTGTTCAGTGTGTCACCAGAAAACATTTTTTGCTCGACATAAACTTCGTCAATGTTGTCAAACTGGATGTGCTAGCCCAAACTACGAGTTAGGTGTAGAGCCTCACGCGTCTTGTTGGCGTGATTTCCGAGTGATTGGTAGCGTAACATTCTATAGTCATTCTCGGCTGTACCGAAAAATGCCTATACCACGCAGAGACAAGAGCTCAGTACAAAATATTGATTACAATAGCTTCGGCGCACTAGCAGGATAGCAAACCAACTACGACAAGACTTATCGTCTCGGTGCACTCGCTGACACATTTATTTTTGACAAGAGTGCTTGCACAGTAATGCAAAGGACAGCAGCTGATGATGTGTAAATTAGAGGATCAAGCAATAGATGTCCAATGTCAAACGATGCTAAAGGGACACTCAAATGGCCTGCCACTTTTGTTTAGTGCTAGTTCACATGCAGCGGTGACAGTCACGATCAGCCATGCATGCTTTTTAGCAGAATTGTAGCGTTATATAACTAAAACTATATAAAGAAGCATGTAGGAATTGTTCTTATATTGACTTGCAAACCCGCCTACGCTTATTTGGAAATTCCGACCTCGACGAGCATCTGTGCAGTGCAAATGGTAGCGGACAGCCGTAGTTTCTCTTACCAAAGTGGTGGTTTTCTACCACAGATGCTCGTCGAGGTCGAAATTTCCAAATACGCGCTACGCACTTTGTCTCGTATTTCTACTACAGTTTGTACTATACCTAACGAAAAAAGAATTGTTGGTAACTAATATTTAAGTAACATATATAATAGTGATACTAGAAGAGCGAAGCACATTTTTTATGTCGCATACATTAGGTCAAGTTTTTCATAATTTGCTTAACACTGGCTGTTCCAGGCTTACCTATATCCCTGCATTCGCCTCGTCCCTTGTGATAAATTGTTGTTGTCTATCTGAGACCTGACAAGGGAAACCACATATGCGCGAGGGGCGGAACCCCATCAGGGTGGAACCACACATGCGGGCTAACATCCGGCTTGTTTACGCCGCCAGTGAGTGGTATGTGCGTGTATGCGTGTCTGTGTGTGCGCGTGCGTCACCTGTGCTATAAGGCGATGTAGGTATTTATTGGCAGTCGATGACGGCCAACACCTGCTCTGGGGGGACTGGCTGATAACCACGGGATGTGCTCACGTGCGCGTGGTGTATCTGACAGGGCTGGGCCTATTGGTGCGTGTGAAAGCTGCACTTTCAGGAGGGGAGACGCGTCAACCTTGGATGATGTCGCTTGTTACCCTAACGTATACAAAACATCCAATGACGAGCATGCTTTTTTTTTGTACAGATGTTCAACTTCTTCAAGCCATTCAGAGCGAAGATGGAGCAATCGACAGACTTATTCGTGATGTGCTCAAACTTCAGGAGGCAAAGGTTAGTAACGTTTACCGAATACTGCTATGTAGTTCGCGACATTTGAGGAAGAAAGAGTGTGTTATATAGTCGTAGACAGAGAAAGAGGGAGGTATATGTGAAAAATATAAATATTTTGCAGATATAGATAGATATTAAATATATTTTGATATTTAAACAAACCGTGCTACTCTAACCAATCATAGCGATCGTTCAGCTGGTGAAGCTATATGACGAGCATTATATTTTTTCTGAGTTAGGGCAAGGTCACTTGACGTGACCTACATGTGGCTTTAGCGATCTGGGTCTGAAATTTTTACTTTATGTATCTTTTGGAGTACCTCGTTCACAGATGTCTTCGATAAGTCGCAGGGTGGTGTTCAACTCCCACCTGGCCCGCCGGCGCGGGTTGAAGCTGGCACCCCTTATCATTGCTAACAACGGCGTTGTAACGGGATGGGATAGTGCCATTTCAGGCTCTGTTAACTCACATTCGTCTGTATGCATTATTACCTGCTTACAGTGAATACTGAGTAACTAGAGTCAACACTTCGCCGGACCTATTGGTTTTCCACACGCGCCGGCCGAGGGGGGGCGGGTACGACCCCCCCCCCCTCGCCGTTTCGCCTCTGGTAGAGCTAGCGCGTCGCGGAAAAAACGAGCGTGTGCGCCGTTACGAGACGCAGAGATTGGTACCCAATTTTAAGGTCCTAGGTTAACCGGTGACCTCTGAGGTCAGGTCAAGTGCCCCAAGGTACGGCTCAGTTTTTGGTGAATAACTTCGCAAAAAAAAACGGCCGCACAGCCGCGATTTTGGCAGCATCGTGTTCGCCTCGCTCAGGCGCATCGAATGATATACTTTTTGTTCGGGTCAGGTCAACTTAGGGTGTTGCCCTCAGCTCAAGGTCAGGTCAGCACCCCCAGGTCACGAAGTTGGTCGAAAGAGGTCATGTCGCATATCATTCGATTCGGCAGGTCTTCCTGAGTCCATTGGTGGCTTTCTCGACTCGCTAGCTCAATTTGCTCGGGAGTTATTGACGAAAAACTAATATGACCTTGATGACGTCATAAATGACGTCACGCAAGGTCAACATTGCAAAAGTGACGCATCTAACCTTGCAAGGAGTGCATCAAATCACGATTCTGTGTGCTTGAGATAGTTGGAGATCGTTCCCGGCGCCAGAATAGCAGTTTTCATTTTTCCCCTTTGACTTAAATGGTGAGGTCACGAAAATGACCTGACCTTGACCTTTAGGAAAAATCCGAGATATACAAGTTATGAGACACGTAATGGATACTAGATCCTGCAAGTTTCATTTCCCTGTGAAAGCTCCTCTGGCAATGAGGGCGTTGCGAAGTTGCGACATCTGAAGACCGTGCAGAGATTCACTTATGACGTCATAACTCATAGTTCAGTGACCTGACCTGACCCGAAAATGTGGTTGGTGTCAAAAGACTCGGCTTGAACTAAAGGTCAGGTATGCCAAGTTTTATCTCTCTATCACCAGCGCGTTCGGAGCTATCGCGAAAAACCCTATGGGGACGGCCCCCTCGGCCGGCGAGGGTTAAACTGAATAACTGATATCCACACTGCACAGTGCACAGTGCAATTTGCAATTGGACTTGCAACGGCTAGGGCTTCGCGATACCGAGATACTAGGATACCAAGCAGGATACTGCACAAAAGCTGGATCCACTCTTTGAGCTTCACACAAATGTCAATTTCTTACGTAACTGGTTAACCGGGTATGGTAGTTTAGAGCTGAGCTGTTACTCTAGTTTTTCTCCGCTTTTTTTTATTGGATATGTGGGGCCATAACTGGCTCTCATGCCCCTAACGGTCACCTCGTCTACCATTGACGGAACCAATTACAAACTCCATTTGTCGCCATAAATGTACCCACTCGAGTGTCGCCCCAACGTCTCGTGTGTCGCTTGGTTCTGGTTATGTTCCTCGGCCGAGTAATTAGTCCATCTCCAATCTGGCTTTCCTGAAACAGCGCTGAAAAATAAACTTCTATTTTCTCATGCATGTTTCCGCTTACGTAAGGATGGTTCTAAGCGACTTATCCAGGTCACAGAAAATGGCGTTCGTTAACTTACCATATGTGGAAGCTCTTGTTTAATGCTCATTTGTCATTTCCAAGATGAGAGTGATGGATTATTGAATTTAAATCAATGGCTCATGAAAATTAATTAACTTTAAAAATAACATCGTATTTTAGGGCGTAGCCCTTTAAGTAGGTATTTAAAATGTTATCGTGATTTATTCGTTTTTTTCGGAATAGTTTAATTATCATGATGATTTAGTTTTGTTTAATTACATTCGAAATTCATTATCAGTGCATTTTAACAAAACAGTGACAAGTTGCGCATATTCTTTTTTAAACCGACTTAAGGGAGTCGTGAACCTAATCTGCGCCCTGTAGGGGGATACCATATCGACCCCCTCCCCTTTTCTATCAATATCTCCTATTATAGCACTGCAGCTATCACCACCAAACATTCAGGATCCCCCGGGCATTGATTTTACACCTTGTGATATTTTTTTTAAGAGGCTATGATAGGTTGGCCACAAATGGCGTCAAAATGACGTCATGTTCTGCCATTCTCGACCCCAAAAAGGTTTCGTGGGAAAAGCTGTCACGCTTATAGCTTTGAAGATGGAGAAAAATGGTTGACGAATAAAAGGTGCAGAATATTTAGGGCCACAACACTGTTTTTTCGAATGTTTTAAATTATTAATTTTGATCCCAAAAAAATAAGAACAGTGTTTTTTGGAGTGATAAGGCCCTCAAAATAAAGAAATATCAAAATTTTGAAAAGAACGGATATGTGTATTAACTCTTAAAGCCTTCCAACGACATACCAAGTTTGATACCAATGCCTTCTTTTTTTAGCTAAGTTATGGCGAAAAAGGCTATTTTAGAAAAGTTAATGACGTGATATTTTCTACCTCAATTTTAGCCGTTCTTGACAACGTAGTTCAAAACTAAGACCAACATTGGATTTGCCGTGACGAGCTGCATCAAATTAGATCTTATTATGCAAAAATATCAATTTCGAAAATTGACCTTTTTGACCTGACCTTGGCCTGACCTTCACAAAAACAATTTAAAGCTAAGGGGCAGGTAAACGATGCTATTTCAATCTATTTCAAATGCAATGAAAGCATATCAAATAACGGTAAACTGTACGTTTATCAGCCCTGTCGCCTCTCCTATATGCTGAACTTCGAATACTTTCATGGCGATCCGACACCCAGCCGCCTCTCCCACCCAGGAGCTTTCAGAGTTGGGCCGGCTACGGGCGCCGCTTCTGGCCCCGAGCCCGGTGACCCGGGGTCGCGGACCGGACTTGGAGCGGACGGACCACCCGGTACGCCAGTTCGCTTACTACCCCAGTGACCCGGAATACAGCCAGCCTCGTCAGCACACCGCCGCAGCCACGGACAAACGGCGAGGGGAGCAGCCGACGGTCGGTGGACAACACAAATCTGCAGGTTAGTCAGTGGTTGACACAATCCCACAGGTAAGTCAGCGGCCTATACACAAAGCCAAACGCTTGTCAGTGGCCTACCCAAACCCACAAGTAAATTAATATTGGTTAAATCAGCGGGTGACACAATCCCACCGGGTAAGCCAGCGCGGCGGTCAACACGACACTAGTACATATAAGTCAGCGGACTATAGTACAAAACGACAGGTAAGTCAATGGTTGGCGCAATCCCACAGGCAAGTCAGCAATTAACACGACCTCAGAGCGACACCGACATGACCCCATATCAGCCGACCCTAACCCAAAGGTAAGTCAACACTTTGACACGACCCCACAGCGGCTGACACGACACCACGACCGTAACAGGATAGTCAGCGGTCGACATGACCCCACAGCGGCCGACATAACCCCACAGGCTGCATAGACAGGACACGACCCCCACAACTCACAGGATAGTCTAGTCAGCGGCCGACATGGCCCTACAGGCTAGTCAACGGCCGACACTACCCACAATTTCGATTGATCGTCTCAACCCTGCAGAAGTTAGAATCAGCCAAAAGCTGCGCCGCTTTATTTCGCAGATACCTCTAGGTATCTGCGAAATAAAGTTCATGATAGATACCTCTAGGTATCTATCATGAACCATGGTGAGCGCACTGGACCTCAACGAGCGGCATAAAAATAACCTTCCTATTCTTCCGCGGCCCTGATGAATGGCCTTGACCCGTCGGTGTGTCAGTGACCCGACATCCCTCACCAACTGATCTGGGCTGGGCCGTAGGAGCATTTCGCCAGCTTTGTGATATGATTCATTATCCAAAGGACACGATAGATTTAGTTAGCGATTACTGACAGACGAACCTAAATTAGATGTAGGACGAGAAGGAAATGGCGGTGCAGATAGGTTCAGATTTCAGACGATTTATTGCCAATAAGTCCAGCCATTCCAATAAGTCCGCGGCAGGTCGCGGTGTCCATAGGTTCTTCGCGTGGAACTGGAGTGGCGCGGCAAGAGGTTGAAGAGGAGACTGCAGATGGAATGTTTACGGTTATACCCGGCAGTTGCTGGGGTATTCCGCCACCTGCCGTTTGCAGGAGGGAGGAGGGCGTTAAACGCCCCTAGCCAATAACTCGAAAATCAATAAGGGTCAAGGTCAGGTCAAACACCTAAAATCGGGCTTTCAGAAGCATGGATTCTGGAACCTCTTATTGGGCGTCTCTCGTCATAAACACTGTCAAGTACACAATCCTTCATAAGTGCTACACGAGTGTCAGATTCATGTAGGGGTCAGCCAAGCATAGGTCAGGGTCAAGGTCAGGTCACTGGTCAGTCAGGTAAACACATATCCTCGAAAATCTAAACTGGTTTTCGCAGCCTATGGCACATGTTTTACGGGCACCGTAGAGAACGATGGTGACACATACGAGTACGTGCTTGGTAGAAAAAATCAATTTAAGAAATGCATGCATCATGGTCGTGAAGTAGCCACGAGAAATTGACAAGATTCAGTACGTCCATCAATTGAGCAGCAGATTGATATTCGCGAATATCAAACAAAAAATTCGATATTCGGACGGGGAACGCAATAACTCAAGAACCAGTGAACCGATTTTGATGAAAATGCCCTCATTCGATTCCCCGTTCCTTATTGCAGGTTGACAGCGATTTCCAGGTCACTAGGTCATGACCTTCAAGGTCAAGGTCAAGGTCAAAGGACGGGGAACGCTCTACAGCCTAAAGTTACCGTCCGATTGGCTTGTAAATGGTCTCAATCGATTCCTCGACCCCGATTCCAGCTTGACAGCGATTTCCAGGTCACTAGGTCATGACCTTCAAGGTCAAGGTCAAGGTCAAAGGACGGGGAACGCTCTACAGCCTAAAGTTACCGTCCGATTGGCTTGTAAATGGTCTCAATCGATTCCTCGACCCCGATTCCAGCTTGACAGCGATTTCCAGGTCACTAGGTCATGACCTTCAAGGTCAAGGTCAAGGTCAAAGGACGGGGAACGCTCTACAGCCTAAAGTTACCGTCCGATTGGCTTGTAAATGGTCTCAATCGATTCCTCGACCCCGATTCCAGCTTGACAGCGATTTCCAGGTCACTAGGTCATGACCTTCAAGGTCAAGGTCAAGGTCAAAGGACGGGGAACGCTCTACAGCCTAAAGTTACCGTCCGATTGGCTTGTAAATGGTCTCAATCGATTCCTCGACCCCGATTCCAGCTTGACAGCGATTTCCAGGTCACTAGGTCATGACCTTCAAGGTCAAGGTCAAGGTCAAAGGACGGGGAACGCTCTACAGCCTAAAGTTACCGTCCGATTGGCTTGTCAATGGTCTCAATCGATTCCTCGACCCCGATTCCAGCTTGACAGCGATTTCCAGGTCACTAGGTCATGACCTTCAAGGTCAAGGTCAAGGTCAAAGGACGGGGAACGCTCTACAGCCTAAAGTTACCGTCCGATTGGCTTGTCAATGGTCTCAATCGATTCCCCGACCCCGATTCCAGCTTGACAGCGATTTCCAGGTCACTAGGTCATGACCTTCAAGGTCAAGGTCAAGGTCAAAGGACGGGGAACGCTCTACAGCCTAAAGTTACCGTCCGATTGGCTTGTAAATGATCTCAATCGATTCCTCGACCCCGATTCCAGCTTGACAGCGATTTCCAGGTCACTAGGTCATGACCTTCAAGGTCAAGGTCAAGGTCAAAGGACGGGGAACGCTCTACAGCCTAAAGTTACCGTCCGATTGGCTTGTAAATGGTCTCAATCGATTCCTCGACCCCGATTCCAGCTTGACAGCGATTTCCAGGTCACTAGGTCATGACCTTCAAGGTCAAGGTCAAGGTCAAAGGACGGGGAACGCTCTACAGCCTAAAGTTACCGTCCGATTGGCTTGTCAATGGTCTCAATCGATTCCCCGACCCCGATTCCAGCTTGACAGCGATTTCCAGGTCACTAGGTCATGACCTTCAAGGTCAAGGTCAAGGTCAAAGGACGGGGAACGCTCTACAGCCTAAAGTTACCGTCCGATTGGCTTGTAAATGGTCTCAATCGATTCCTCGACCCCGATTCCAGCTTGACAGCGATTTCCAGGTCACTAGGTCATGACCTTCAAGGTCAAGGTCAAGGTCAAAGGACGGGGAACGCTCTACAGCCTAAAGTTACCGTCCGATTGGCTTGTAAATGGTCTCAATCGATTCCTCGACCCCGATTCCAGCTTGACAGCGATTTCCAGGTCACTAGGTCATGACCTTCAAGGTCAAGGTCAAGGTCAAAGGACGGGGAACGCTCTACAGCCTAAAGTTACCGTCTGATTGGCTTGTAAATGGTCTCAATCGATTCCCCGACCCCGATTCCAGGTTGACAGCGATTTCCAGGTCACTAGGTCATGACCTTCAAGGTCAAGGTCAAGGTTCTCGAATATCAAACTAAGAATTCGATATTCGGACGGGGAACGCAATAACTCAAGAACCAGTGAACCGCTTTTGATGAAAATGCCCTCATTCGATTCCTCGTTCCTTATTGCAGGTTGACAGCGATTTCCAGGTCACTAGGTCATGACCTTCAAGGTCAAGGTCAAGGTCAAAGGACGGGGAACGCTCTACAGCCTAAAGTTACCGTCCGATTGGCTTGTAAATGGTCTCAATCGATTCCTCGACCCCGATTCCAGCTTGACAGCGATTTCCAGGTCACTAGGTCATGACCTTCAAGGTCAAGGTCAAGGTCAAAGGACGGGGAACGCTTTACAAGCCAATCAGACGGTAACTTAAGGCTGTAGAGCGTTCCCCGTCCTTTGACCTTGACCTTGACCTTGAAGGTCATGACCTAGTGACCTGGAACTCGCTGTCAAGCTGGAATCGGAGTCGAGGAATCGATTGAGACCATTTACAAGCCAATCGGACGGTAACTTTAGGCTGTAGAGCGTTCCCCGTCCTTTGACCTTGACCTTGACCTTGAAGGTCATGACCTAGTGACCTGGAAATCGCTGTCAAGCTGGAATCGGGGTCGAGGAATCGATTGAGATAATTTACAAGCCAATCGGACGGTAACTTTAGGCTGTAGAGCGTTCCCCGTCCTTTGACCTTGACTTTGACCTTGAAGGTCATGACCTAGTGACCTGGAAATCGCTGTCAAGCTGGAATCAAGGTCGAGGAATCGATTGAGACCATTTACAAGCCAATCGGACGGTAACTTTAGGCTGTAGAGCGTTCCCCGTCCTTTGACCTTGACCTTGACCTTGAAGGTCATGACCTAGTGACCTGGAAATCGCTGTCAAGCTGGAATCGGGGTCGGGGAATCGATTGAGACCATTGACAAGCCAATCGGACGGTAACTTTAGGCTGTAGAGCGTTCCCCGTCCTTTGACCTTGACCTTGACCTTGAAGGTCATGACTTAGTGACCTGGAAATCGCTGTCAAGCTGGAATCGGGGTCGAGGAATCGATTGAGATCATTTACAAGCCAATCGGACGGTAACTTTAGGCTGTAGAGCGTTCCCCGTCCTTTGACCTTGACCTTGACCTTGAAGGTCATGACCTAGTGACCTGGAAATCGCTGTTAAGCTGGAATCGGGGTCGGGGAATCGATTGAGACCATTGACAAGCCAATCGGACGGTAACTTTAGGCTGTAGAGCGTTCCCCGTCCTTTGACCTTGACCTTGACCTTGAAGGTCATGACCTAGTGACCTGGAAATCGCTGTCAAGCTGGAATCGGGGTCGAGGAATCGATTGAGACCATTTACAAGCCAATCGGACGGTAACTTTAGGCTGTAGAGCGTTCCCCGTCTTTTGACCTTGACCTTGACCTTGAAGATCATGACCTAGTGACCTGGAAATCGCTGTCAAGCTGGAATCGGGGTCGAGGAATCGATTGAGACCATTTACAAGCCAATCGGACGGTAACTTTAGGCTGTAGAGCGTTCCCCGTCCTTTGACCTTGACCTTGACCTTGAAGGTCATGACCTAGTGACCTGGAAATCGCTGTCAACCTGCAATAAGGAACGAG